CTTCCCGCCGGAGCCAGCTAACGCCGCTGCCCGCAGGGAGACAGCCGCGGGGGAAACCGCTCCATCCCGGCGTCCGACGACGCTCAGGCGCGGCCGTGCGCGAGAAGGGCGAGGCCGCTGTTCGGAAAGCGGACGGAGAGCTGGCGGGGGACTTCAGAGGGAGATGGCTTCAGCTCCGAGCTGTGCCGGAAGCCTCCTGCAGGATCTGGAGCCAGTCGACAACTGTTCTGGTTTTCCGGGTGGGTTCTTTTGCCAGATATAAGTAATTAGAGCTTGATAGAGCGTGGGGAAAAACGTTGACTTATCGCTGGGAGAGGGAAGCACAAAATATTTCCAAACAACGCGGGTTATTTGTCGGTAAGCCTCCTCCGCTGGGGCGGGCGCCGGGAACGGCGCCGCCCGAGGGGCCGTCTGCGCCTCGTCGTCGCGGGAAGGGCCCCGCGCGCTCTCCGCTGCTGCTTTTGGGGGCCTCGGGGGCGTCTCCGGTCTTGTAACCGCGGGATGACGCTTCTGCTGCGCCTTTCGGGGCTGCCGAGGGCGGGTGTTTCCGACCGGGGCGACTGCTCGTTCAGGGCAAGGGTGGCTTCAAAACCTGGACAGAATAAGCGATGCGTTTTTTTCACGTGCTTTAGAATTGTATCGGTAATCCGCGGTTACATTATTAATGTAGTATTGAAAGGACTTGAGGCCTCTCAGCACGTTCCTATTTCAAACAAATAATTACCGGAGCCCAGATAATTTATTAAATTAAATTGAAAAACCCAGACACACTCTATATTTGCCTTGGAGTAATGTTTTTTTTTTAACTAGCACGTCCAAAAATACACTGTTATTCCCATCGCCGTACCCAGAGGCTGCAGATGGGCTGGAACGCCGATGCGGCGGGCGGCGGCTTCGGCAGGACCCAGAGTCCCCCGCCCGGGTACCATGTTGCCGGGTGAGGTCCCGGTTCTCCATTGCCCGGCTCCAGGCGAGGCGGGAGACGCGCTTTTCTGAATTTGTTTCAAAGCACACAAACAGAAGTCCTTACCGTTTTGTACGCCCCAGGTACCTTGGCAGCAAGCAAAGGCACGCGCTGCACATTACGTCCTTTGCGTCCCGAACGGATGCCGTTACCGCTAACGGATGCGTACCGCTAACGGGGACGCTGGGATGGACAGGCGATGCAGGACAGCCTAGAAAGCTTTCCCCTGGTAGAGATGTTCGAACGGAGCGCGTACAAGGTTTTGTTGTCTCTCGTTTGTTGGTCGTTTACGAGCGAGGCCGTTTCAATCAGTCGGTAATTTTTCATAAAGCGCTTTGATTAAATAAATAACAAGACTGCAAGCGCAAAGCGTTATTTTGCTATTCGAGGCCTCCGCCATATTGATGGAGCCGTCAGAGCATCCCCCGCAGAAGCACCAGCTCGCGTACGCGCCCCGGCCGAGCGAAGGGCGCCGAGCCGCGGGGAGGCTCCGCGCCCTTTCCCCCCTCCCCGGCTCGCGCAGGGCAGAGCCGCCCTTCCGAAAACAACGCCTGCTCTGGTGGGGTTTATCTGCGCTCTGCCGAGACGCGTGACAAACCTGTGCTAAATCGGAACCTCAGACGACGCCAGCGTGTAGGAACAGGAAAGCTACTGCATAATACAGGAAAATGAGACAGAAATCCTCCGTACCGCACAGTTACTTCAGAAGCAAGAATAAACAGTATTTAAAAATGTATAAACACAGATGGCATGTTTTCCCTAAAAAAATGTTTCGAGAAAAATAAAAGCCTCTTAAAAAGGAATAAAATATGAGAAGGAGGAGAAGTAGGTCGGAAAGAAGAAGTGAAAGGAAGGGGGGAAAACTAACAAAACAGAAATCAAAGCTGAAGCAGATTCTGCCGGCGCGTGGCCGTGGCGTGGATCCAGGCGGCTTTCTGCAAACATCTGCCGGGGCGACAGGGAACCGGGGCCTCATCCAGCACCGTCCCGGGGCTTTGTGGGCTCTGGGGGGCTGCTGCTCGACTGGAAGCCCCCTCGAGTCGAGGCTGATGGGCTGGGAGCTTCCAGGAGCACTCGGGGTTTGAGCTCGCGTTTCCCCACGCGCCGCTCGGCAGGAAATTTGCACGCCAGGAAAATGTTTTTAGGACTTCAAAAGTACAAAAAAATGGCTTAAACATTCGAACGATGCGCTCGGGTGACGGCCAGCCCCCGTGTGAGTGGGGGTTTCCACGTGAAGAAGTGAGCTGAAGGTACTCGCGCCGTCATTTTCCACACGGAATAAATACCACGCGTGGCGGTGAATTCTCTCACAGCGAAACCTCTGCAGCGAGAACTTAGTTGATTCCAGCCACGAAAATAAAAGTTGATTTTGCTGGCGTTAACTTAAAACTATCGCTACATCTCGGGGAGGAATAAACACAGGCGTACTTTATAAAAGCAGCGATGAAGCTACAGCATCCTTGTTCCTCAGGCGAGGCGAGCCCGTACGGGCTCCGCAGCCTTTGGGGGCTGTACCTGCTGCGGCGGGGATCCCCGCGCAGGAGGGGGGGGCGTAACGCAGCAGCCGCCCCTCGAAGCTGCGGAGGGGCTGGATGGCAGGGGGACCTTCCTCTTGTCTGAGAAGCGGCGTTTGCGGTGGCTGCTTGGCTCCAGGGGCCGGGCCGGAGTCCCGACAGGAGAAACGGCAGAAATCGTTGGTTTGGGTGGGTTTTTGTTTGTTTTTTTTTCTTCCAGTCAGTTGAGCAAATGAGCTGGCGGAGGAAAAAGCGGAGAAAGGAGAACTCGGGCAAATCATCGAACGTCCAGCTTTGGAAAATTGCAAAGCGTAGCTGTTTAGTCCTCTGTTCGCTCTGTAAATTGAGGTTTCCCTGCCTCCGGTCTAACCTGCACGGCCGCGGGGCCTTGCCCAGCAGCACCCGTTTTGGGGGGGGGCCTGGTGGAGCCCCTCGGGGGGCTTTTGGGAGCAGGGCCGCACCTTGGACCCCGATGGAAAGAGCCCAACCTGTGGGAACCGCAGACGAGCAAGGGCACGTTACTACGAACGACTCCGGACCAGGCACCGGCGGGGAATCAGCAGACGTTTAACTAAAATGCGGCGCGCGTCTCGGCGGCGGTCTGACGGCTTCGCCACGTGCCTGGGAGATAAGGTAGTGGTGGTGTTACGAGTAGGTCTGCAACGTACGAAAGGGCATTTTTCTCTTCAGATAGCTCAAGGCCTGATCTTCTAAAAGGCCAATATGTAAAACACGCGCTGCTTACGCGGTCCGAGCAGAAACGCGCCAGGTTTTCATTCTGCGTGGGAAGGTAAACGTGATAACCTTTGCCCCGTGCGCTGCTTTGGTAGCGGCGTATCGGCGCCTGCTGTTGTACCAGGGCGCGCTGCAGGAGGGAAACAGAGGCCGCCTCTGAAAAACGGCTCCCCAAAAGCGGCGCGGGGCTACGAGCTTCTTTCCGTCCGCCGCGCCTTTAGCTAAAACTTGCTCTGTTTCCAAGCTGCAGGATGTTTTTTTACGGCCGGACCCGCGAGCCGACTCGGGGCGTTACGAGACTCCCTCGCTTATCTATCGCTGGCCCGCTCTTTCTTTTGGGAGCGTGAACCCACGGCCACGGGCTCCGTCCTAAAACAGCAAACACCAGAGGGGTTGAAGGAGCACGGAAATGCTCCCGTTACGCCGGTGTGACTCCTCGTGCGCTCAGGGAAAGCTTGTGCAGCGTTTAGGGAGCTTTTAGCCTATTCGTCCGCGCTGCCGAGGGGCAGCGGCGATATCGGACGCCGTAAATGGAACTGGAAGGGGGAAAAGGAGGACGTTGTGGCTAGGGGGCTTTGTCCAACGTCATTCGGCAACGATCGGTGAAAAAGGCCGCCCGGCCACGCCCCGGCCTTCCCTCTAACAGAGCCCGCAGGGGCGCTGCCGGCGCGTTCACCCACCTCGCAGGGCAGCCCCTCGCTGCGAGGCTGCAGCCTCTCCTGGCTGCTCCGCCTCGCCCGCTCCCGCCGGGGCCTTCTGCAGCGAAGGCCCAGGCCTCTCCCTCCAGCGGCATCTCCTCCCGCCCCGGCCGGGCGCTGCCCAGACCCGTTTTTGCAGAAGCGAAAGGAAGGGGAGTGCTGCGAGGGCTCCCCGGCTCCTCGCCGTGTATTCGGTAGGCTTTTTCTTTCCAGTCGCGAGCCGCTGCTGTGTTTTCGCGATTAGAGAAAATGAACGTGTCTCTCACGAAGTGACAAGCTGGCAGGGGGCAGCTTCAGTCATCGCTGCGGTTCTGGGCCAGCGCTTCAGACCCTCCCCACTGGTGTTTTCATTAGCAAAGAGCTCAACGTTCGTAAAGCCCCGCAGTACCTGCGCTTAGAAGCTGCTACGCTAGAGCAAGCGCTAGCGCCGCAAACGCCGGGGGCGCGCAGGCGCCGAACGATTCAATCGCTCGTGCGGTTTTGCCCAACGAGGGGTAACACGGTTCATTTTTTCGGTCTTAACGCTTGCGCCGTCGACTTCCGGGGCATCGCGCTCGTCCCCGCTACGCGCGCGCTTGCCTACTCTACTACGCGATTCGCGACTCAGCCCGGTCCTACGCGGAGGCGTTGCGCAAAAGGACTCCTGTTAAACGCCCGCGGAGGCAGCAGGCGCGGGTACCGTTACTACGTAACGGAAATAACTTCCCGGGGCGTTTTCTGTCGCCCACCTGCGAGAGGCTGGCTCACCCAGCAGCTCCGGGCGAGCGGAAAGACAGGCGGCATGAAACACCATCGTTCACCAGAACGGACTGTTTTTATTGTGTAGTGAAAGACTGCATCTAAAACCAGATGAAGAGGAGAATCAGACCGCGGGTTTTACCTAGTACGTACAAAGGAGCTGCCGAGACTCGAGCGTCGACTCCTCGCTCCAACAGAAAGGAAGCGGTAACTCGGGCTTCCATCTGCAATTTAACAGCTGTTCAGAAACAAGGGAACCGAAGGGCGCAGCTTCGCAAGAGCCTGGCAAACAGGAAAGAACCGGGAGACACATCTGGTGCGTGCCACGGGGTGGCATGGTAAGATGAGAAATCAGCTGGCAGTTTTATCGCTTTCTCCGTTCTCTATGAGTTTCCTTTTCTTTTCATCCGTTTTCCTCTTGAAGATGCTGTCTCTGTAGAACTGAAGTTCTTTGATGCTTTCCCTGATGTCATCGAGCGCTCTGAAAAAAGAGAATTAAGGCGGGTTTCAAAACGCCTGCGCGCATCTTCAGCTACATCTGGATTCCAACGCTTCCGAAAAGCCCCGGGCTGTAGGAAATCAAACCCTGATGCGCGCAGATCACACAGCTGTCGGAAAGAACAACCGCCCCTGCTGCTCTCGGGTACGGGGAGAGCAGTAACAGTCCACCAGCGCTGGCGTGCCGGGGAGTGACGCGCGGCTTATTCGTTTATGTCGCCGTGGGACACGGAAGCCCCGGCCAACCAACAGCTTCTACGGCCTCCCCGAGTGAACGCAATTCAAGCCGAGCCAGCGGAGACGCGGGCTCCGGAGCCCTGCCTTCAGCTCCCGCGTTGGCCCCTTCTGCCTGCTCAGAGGGGAAGGCCCGCGCAGAAGCGTAACTCACAATTAAACCCTTCCGCAGAAAGGAGCAGGAGCTCTCTGGCGCACTGGGAACTCGGGAAGTAGCCAGGAACAGAACTCTCATCTCCCCGTTTGCAGGCGCCCAATTTCCGCGTCTCCGCCAACAACCCTGCCCAAAGCAGGGACGGACGAACGCCACCGTTGGGAGGCGACCGTTTTCCCGTGATTTCTCACCGTGATGTCTAAGAAGCGACGTTGCTAAGTAGCTACGTTGCCAAACAAGCATCTTAGCTCGAACAGTAAACAGATGATTCAGATACGGAAACCTCTGATCCTCTCTACGTTAAGAAGCCCTCTCCCTACGCTACCCGGGCTTCGGACGGAAGAACACAAACGTACGGCAGGGAGCCGAAGCCTCCGCCGTCGTCTGCACTAGAAGCAGCGCGCCTGGAATTCAAAGGCAGCTCCGTATTCTGCTCGGGAAGAGCACGGTTCCTGCGTGGCGAGCCCCGCCCTGCTACAGACACGAGCAGAAACCTCACCTGTGAGAAGCCGCCTTCTTTGGTGCGAACTCGTATTCTTCCGGATACCAGCGTCTGCAAGCGGAAGAAAGCGCCACTCAGAAAAGGGAACTGGGATTCAAAAGCACGTCCGGTGGCGGCTGCGCGTTTGTTACAACTGGGGAAAGAGCTTCGGTTTCACCGGCGCCCAGAGAAGCCGCAAGCCTGCAGCCACTCGGGGGAGCGCGCCAAGGACTCGGGGAGCGCTTGGCGGCTCGCTCCGTGCATCCGCCCGGACAGAGCAGAGGGAAGCACCAGGCGGCTGCAGGCAGCCCTCTCCCAGCAGCCTTCAACCTCGTGTTAGAAGAGCCCGCCTTGGCGCCGCTGAGCAGGCTTCCCTAGATGATCTTTCCTTACTCAGTTTGGGGAACGTTTACCTGCAAAGCTCTTTGACGGTGCTCACGTCAATGATCCTGTAATGAAGATGCCTCATGAACTGAGGCATGTATTTGTCGAGGAATTTCTTATCTGCGTGAACAGAGTTACCTACAAAGACACAAAACAAGACGTTTCTTCAAAGACAGTACAAAGCTACTACGAACGGCATCTGAACGAGCAGCAGGCTAAGCGAGCCGGGGAAAGATCACAGGCTACGGAAAGCTACTCGCAAGCAGCTCGTTTATCCCATTCTCTAGTAAATGCGATTGTAAAGGTTCGTCAGATTTCCATGGCAGGACCACGCGCGGTTTAAATACGTAATCCCCCTATTAATTCATCGGTGGCCACTCCCACGATTCCTGTCACGCAGTAAATATCAACGTATCGTGCGAGCATCGGGTTTTCCGCCAAGTGAAAACGGGGCGTTGGGATTAACGTCGCCGAGCGCCAGTCCCGAGACCGCATGTGAACGTCCCGAAGGTAGTTCCACGGAGCGGGACGTTTGGAAGGCTCGTACTGGGCGTCGGGTTCGATTACACGGCGAGGAAAAGACGCCCTTGGGCCGGCTGCTCGGATGTTACGGTTGCAGACCGCTGTCAGCAGTTCAGGTGGCCCGCCCCAATTGTAACTGCGCGGGGAAACGTGAACGCAAAAAGAGAACCGAAGTCTCCCGCAGTAACGCGGTGCAACATTTGCTTCAGGGAGTCGGCAGAAGGGATGGCGCCGTTACCGAACCTCTCCTTACCGAACGGGTTTTGATTTGCGTGCTGGATCTCAGCAGAGGAAACTACAGCATCCCCGCCCGGTGCCTCAGCAGCGGGCCTGTCGGCACCCAGCTGGGAGCCGCGGGAGGGGTGATATTGTTATTGTTCACGGA